TTTTTTTTTTTTTGTAGTAATTTATAACAGTACTTTGTATTTCTGTGGTATCAATTGTAATCTCTCCTCTTTCAGTTCTGATTTTGTTTACTTGGGTTCTTTCTCTATTTTTCTCGATGAGTCTGCTTAAAGGCTTGTTGATGTTGTTTATGTTTCCAAAGAACCAGCTCCTGGATTTATTGATTCTTTGAATTTTTCTTTTAGTCTCTATGTCATTTAATTTTGCTCTGATCTCGGTTATTTCCTTCCTTTTACTTGTTCTGGGCTGTCATTGTTGTTGTTCATCCAGTTCTTGCAGGCATAGGGTTAGGTTGTTTGTTTGAAATGTTTATTTTTTAGGTAGGCCTGTATCATTTTGAACTTCCCTCTCAGGACTGCCTTTGTTGTGTCCCAAGTTTTGGACTGTTGTGTGCTAATTTTTATTTATTTCCAGAAATGTTTGATTCCTTCCTTGATCTCATTATTAATCCATTCATTGTTTAATAGCATGCTATTCAATCTCCATGGATTTGAGTGTTTTTGAGTTTTTTTCCCTGAGTTTGGTTTCTAGTTTCAGTCCCTTGTGGTCAGAGAAAATCCTTGATATGATTTCAATTTTCTTGAACTTTTTGAGGTTTCTTTAGTTGTCCTATCATGCTATCTTTGAAAATATTCCATGTGTATTTGAAAATAATGTGTATTTTGTTTCTTTGGGGTGAAAGGTTTTATATATGTATCAGTTAATTCCATTTGATCTAAGACATTGATCAATGCCACAATATCCTTGTTGATATTTTGTTTGGAAGATCTATCCATTTTTGACAGTAGGATGTTAAAATCCCCTTGTATAAGTGTGTTGCGTTCTATATTTTTCTCAATTTCCTCCAAGATTTTTCTTAAATATTTGTGTGCTACTATGTTGGGTGCATATGTGTTTATAATACTTAGGTCTTCTTGATTGATTCTTCTCTTGAATATTATGAATTGTTCTTCTGTGTCTCTTTTTATGGAATTTGTTTTGAAATCTATTTTGCCAGATATAAGTATTGCTACACTAGCTTTTCTTCTTTTCTTGTCCGTTTGCTTGGAATATGTTTTCCAACTCTTCCCTTTCAGTCTGTGCAGGTATTTTTTTCTGAGGTAGATCTTTTCTAAGAAGCATATGTGTGGATCATGTTTTCCTGTCTCTTCAGGTACCCTATGTGTTTTGATTTCAGCATTTAGTCCATTTACATTTAGGGTTATTATTGATAGGTACTCATTCGTTGCCATTTTACTCCCTTTGTACCCATCTTCTTTTCTCTCTCATTCTTCTTCTTCCTCTTCTTAAAGCAGTCTCTTTAGCATATCTTGTAGTGCTGGTTTGGTGGTTGTGTATTCTTTCAGCCTTCTTTTGTCTAGGAAACTCCTTATTTTGCCTCCCATTTTAACTGAGAGCCTCACAGGATAGAGTAGTCTTGGTTGCAGGCCTTTGCTTTTCATTGCTTTTATATTTCTTGTCATTCCCTTCTGGTTTGTAGTGTTTCTGTTGAGAAGTCAAGTACTACCCTTATTGGGGCTCCCTTGCATGTTACTTATTGTTTCTCCCTTGCTGCCTTTAAGATTCTCTGTATTTAAATTTTGCTATTTTAATTATGATATGTGTTGGAGTGGGCCTCTTTGGGCTCCTCTTCATTGGAACCCTCTCTGCTTCCTGGACTTTTGTGGCTTTTTCTGTCATCAAATTAGGGAAGTTTTCTATCATTACTTTTTAAAATATATTCCATTAATTATGATATTACAGTTGTCCCATTACCCCCCCCTTCATTCCCCTCCACCCTGCACACCCTCTCCCACCCACATCCCCTTCCTTTAGTTCATGTCCATGTGTCATAAGTTCTTTAGCTTCTATATTTCACATACTATTCTTGCCCTCCCCCTGTCTATTTTCTACCTACTATCCATGCTACTTATTCTCCATACCTTTTCCCCCTCTCTCCTCCTCCAACTCCCCTGTTGCTAACACTCCATGTGATCTCCATTTCTGTTATTCTGCTCCTGTTCTAGTTGTTTGCTTAGTTTGTTTTTGGTTTTTTGTTTTAGGTGTGGTTGTTAACAATTGTGAGTTTGCTGTCATTTTACTGTTCATATTTTTTATCTTCTTTTTGTTAGATAAGTCCCTTTAACATTTCATATAATAAGGGCTTGGTGATAATGAACTCCTTTAACTTGACCTTATCTGAGAAACACTTTATCTGCCCTTCTTCCATTCTAAATGAAAGCTTTGCTGGATAGAGCAACCTTGGGTGTAGGTCCTTGCCTTTCATGACTTGGAATACTTCTTTCTAGCCCCTTCTTGCCTGCAAGGTCTCTTTTCAGAAATCAGCTGACAGTCTGATGGGAACTCCTTTGTAGGTTACTGTCTCCTTATCTCTTGCTGCTTGTAGGATTCTCGCCTTCATTTTTACCTTGGCTAATGTAATTATGATGTGCCTTGGTGTGTTCTTCCTTGGGTCCAAGTTCTTTGGGACTCTCTGAGCTTCCTGGACTTCCTGAAAGTCTATTTCCTTTGCCAAATTGGAGAAGTTCTCCTTCATTATTTGTTCAAATATGTTTTCAATTTCTTGATCTTCCTCTTCTCCTTCTGGTACCCCTATGATTCGGATATTGGAACATTTAAAGATGTCCTGGAGGTTCCTAAGCCTCTTGTCATTTTTTTGAATTTTTATTTCTTTCTTTGGTTCTGGTTCAATGTTTCTTTCTTCCTTCTGGTGTACTCCACTTATTTGAGTCCCAGTTTTCTTCCTATCACTATTGGTTCCCTGTACATTTTCCTTCATTTCACTTAGCATAGCCTTCATTTTTTCACCTAATTTGCGACCAAATTCAACCAATTCTGTGAGCATCCTGATCACCAATGCTTTCAACTGTGCATCTGATAGGTTGGCTATCTCTTGGTCGCTTAGATGTATTTGTTGTGGAGCTTTTATCTGCTCTTCCATTTGGGCCATTTTTTTTGACTTGTCACACCTGTTGTGTATGAGGGGTGGAGCCTTAGGTGTTCACCAGGGCAGGACAGCCCTGTAGCTGGGTTGTGATGCTTGGTATGTGGGGGCAGGGTCCAAGAGGGAACAATGGCACTTGCTCCACTGTCTGTCAGACTTCAGTCCCTTCTGCTGCTTCCCCCAAGCAAAGTGGGCCTTTCTGTTGCTAATTCCCATGTGGGTGGGCTTGTGCACATTCTAGGACCCAGTGGGTCTCTCCAATGAACTCTCCTGTGAAGCTGGGAATCTCTTCCTTAGCCTCAACGCCCACAGGTATTTTCAATCAGTGCCCCAAGACTCTATTTCCCAGTGCTGGGACTCTAGGTTGCACTCAGTGCCTTGCTTCACAATCGCCACCTTGCTGGGTCTGCTGGTTGCTACCCCATGCCAGGGTCTGTCAGCTGCTGCCTACGTGCCCAGAGCTTGCCCACTGCAGTCTTGCATGCCTGGGATGCCTTATGTGGCCAGTCCCACTGCTCTTTGTGCCTCGACCCCTCTCTGCCCGGCTGCCCAACTCCAGCCCCCCTACCAGTCTGGATGAATGTGTCTATTTTAACTCCTTAGTTGTCTGAATTCCATACAGTTCAATTTTCTGTGAGCTCTGGTTGTTATTCTGTTTCTAAATTGTTGTTGTCCCTATCTTGGTTGTGTAAGGAAGCACAGTGTGTCTACCTATACCTCCATCTTGGCCAGGAGTCCATCATTACTTTTTCAAACAGGTTTTCTATCCCTTGCTCCTCTTCATATCCTTCTGGTCTCACTATTATATGGATATTATTATGTTTCATATTGTCCTGCAGTTCTCTTAACCCCTCTTTGTTCCTTAGAGTCCTTTTTCCTTTTCTTACTCTCTCTGAGAGTTTTTTCTACCTTGTCCTCCAACTCACTGATTCAATCCTTTGCTTTGGCTAGCCTGCTTCTGATTCCTTCTACTGTGTTCTTCAATTCAGGTATTGTATTCTTCATTTCTTCTTGACTCTTGTTGATAATTTCTATGTCCTTTTTCATGATGATAAAATTTGTAGTAAGTTCCTCCTAGTTTCCCTGTAGTTTTTGGTAATTCTCATTGAACTCATTGAGCTTCCTTATAACCATTGCTTTGAACTTAATATCTGATAGTTGACTTGCTCCTATTTCATTTAGCAGTCTTTCTGGGGATTCCTCCTTTCCTTTCAATGAGGGGGGCATTATTTCTTTGTCTTCCAATTATTTTTGAGACTCTTCTTGTTTGTTTCTGTTTCTTAAATTCATCTGTTTTGACTCTCTGACTTTGTGGTGTGAACTTCTACAGTAGGAGACCTGTGAGATTCAGTGGTGCAGCAGATAACTCCCCCCTTCACCCCACTATCAACAGCAAATGAATCAGTATTAATAAGGGTGTAAAGAGATTAAAACTATTATAAAAAAGGAGAGAAATATACTATAGTATAAAATCTGGTAACTTAGTATGCACAAACTTGATGGACAAGAAATGGATGTTAAAAGCTATGCAGGGAAGAAAATATCACCAACCATGGAGAAGACCACAGTGGATTTTGTCTCAGGAGCCTCTAGTATTTACCACTGTTTTTTTTTTCTTTCTAGATCCTCCTCTGGTGATGTCAGATGGTGACTCCATCTGACCTTAGGCAGCCTGTTCCAAGACTGCCAGGGATCTACTGTCCATGGCTGCTCCTTCAGTTGTTAATCTAGTCACTCTGCACTCAGCAGCCAGGCTTAAGCACCACAGGTGGGGCAGAGTCTATCCTGGGGTCAGGGCTATTGTTTCCCTTCAGGCTGCTATTGCTCAGAGTGGAGTGGTCTGCCTGAGCAGGATGGCTGCTGCCATAGGGATAATGACTCAGCACCAGGATCCCATGGCTGCTCTCTCAGTCCTCTCCCCAAAGCTTCCATTCCCTCCTCAGGCATCTCTAGCCCACTCTGCCCCTGCCTTTGCCAAAGCCCAGGGTAAGTGGCCACAAATGAAAATTTTTATGCTGAGGCCAGCCACTCTGAAAAGCCATGTTTGCATTGTTCCTGTGTGTGCTTTTCCGCTTGCTGCAGCCACCTCTGTCACGTGCCTCCTAAGTTGCCACGGACTTCCACAGCATTTTTGCCAGAGTTCTCAAAGTCTTACTTTTTAAAAAATCTGCTGCATAGGATCACTGGCATGCCCACAATGTCAGATGTGGCCATGGATACCAGCTCCAAGATCACCACCAAAGACTTAAAGGAGAAGAAGGGAGTGGAAGAGGCAAAGAATGGAAGAGATGCACCTGTTAATGACAATGCTAATGAGGAAAATGGGGAGCAGGGGGCTGACAATGAGGTAGATGAAGGAGAGGAAGAAGAAATGGAGGAGAAGGAAGAGAAGGAGGAAGGTGATGGTGAGGAAGAGGATGGAGATGAAGATGAGGAGGCTGAGGCAGCCATGGGCAATTGGACAGCTAAAGATGATGAGAATAACGATGTTGACACCAAGAGGCAGAAGTTCGATGAGGATGACTGTAAAGCAAAAAAGGAAAACTTAAACTTAAAAAAAAAGGCCACTGTGATCTATTTACACTGCACTTCCCATCTCAGAATCTAAACATGGTCACCTTCAAGTAGAGATTCCCACCCACCCACTGCAGGCAGCACCACTCTCAGGTGACATACGTTCTCCACCACCCAACGAAAACCACTATGTGAATTTGCAACAGGGGAGGAAGAAAACAAAACTTCCAATGCCCTACTTTTTTCTTAAAAGTCCTTTAAAAAGGAAAATTTGTTTGTATTTTTTATTTACATTTTATATTTTTGTACATATTGTTAGTGGTCTGCCATTTTTAATGATCTGAGCATGACCAAACCAGACTTTGGAGCATTCTCTCTCCTACTTCTGACTTTACTTGTGGTGTGACCATGTTCATTATAATCTCAAAGGAGAAAAAAAACCTTTAAAAAAAGCAAAAACAACAAAAAAATCTTATTCTGAGCATTCCCGTAACTTTTTGTGCGTGTATTTAGCTGTACTATAAGTAGTTGGTTTGTATGACATGGTTAAAAAGGCCAAAGATAAAATATTGCTTTTTTCCATTTTTGCTTATAAAGTTTCTGTTTATTTACTTATTTTTTGGCCTGTTTGATGTATGTGTAAAACAATGTTGTCCAACAATAAACCGGAATTTTATTTTGCTGAGTTGTTCTGACAAAAAAAAATTTATGTTGGCCCTTTAAACGGCTCTTTGCATCTCCAACCATCTGTCTCTGGGAGAGAGCAACCCTGCCGGTTTTCACTGCTGGTTGTTATGTGTACTTTTCCAGCTCTGGTGTTTCAGGCTGGAGATCCCAGCTTAGGATTTAGACCCCACACTTCTCAGGGGGATCCAACCAGTTGCATAATTATCCCTCCTGTTCTGCCACCTATGGGCACTCAACCAATCCTCTTGAGTCTCCATCACACTCCTGATCATTCAATTAGTACTGAAGCTGATTCTTTTGTCTGTCTGAGGTTATGAGGCTTCTCTCTCTCTATTGTTCAGTTGTTTGTTCTGGGTGATACCTCCACGATTTAGTTGTAAATCCAGATTAGTCCTGGGAGGAGGTTAGTGGCTTACATTCACTCCCCCACCATTTTGTACCCCCATTTTAAAATTTTTAATGATACTCCATTTTGTTTTCCACAGTGGCAGCACCAGTCTGCATTCCTATCAATAGGGCACTAAGGTTTCCTTTTCTCCATATCCTCGCTAGTACTTGTTTGTTGATTTAATGATGGTAGCAATTCTGACAGGTGTAAAGTGATATCTCATTGAGGTTTTAATTTGCATTTCTCTGATGATCAGTGATGCTCAGCATTTTTTTCATATATCCATGGGCCCTCTGTCTGTTCTCTTTGGAGAAGTGTCTATTCAGGGCTTTGTCCATTTCTTAATTGGGTTGTTTGTCTTCCTGGCATTGAGTTGTATTAGTTAATTGTATGTTTTGTAGATTAAATCCTTGTCAAATGTATCATTGGCAAAAATGTTCTATATTTGTCTTGCTGATGGTTTCTTTAGTTGTACAGAAGCTTTTTAGTTTGATGTAGTACCATTTGTTTATTTTCTGCTTTGTTTAAGTGCCTTAGGAAATATATTGGCAAAAATATTTCTATGCTGAATATCTGAGATTTTACTCTCCATGTTTTCTTCTAGGATTGTTATGGTTTCAGGTCTTTTATCAGTTTTGAATTTATTTTTGTGTGATGTGTAAGTTAGTGGTCTAGTTTCATTTAATATATTTATTGATTATGCTATTACAGTTGTACCATTGTTCTCCTTTTCATTCCCCTCCACCCTGCTCTCCCCTTTCCACCACCATTCCCCCTCCTGCCTTAATTCATGCCCATGGGTTGTGCATATAAGTTATTTGGCTTCTCCATTTCTTATACTATTCATTACCTCCACCTGTCTGTTTTCTACCTACCATTTATGCTTCTAATTCCCTGTACCTTTTTCCCCTTCTCCCTCCTCCACCTTCCCACCGATAACTCTCCATACGATCTCCATTTCTGTGTTTCCATTCTTCTAGTTGTTTCCTTAAGTGTGTTTTTGTTTTTGTGATTGTAGGTTTTGTTGTTAATACTTGTGTGTTTGTTGTCATTTTACTGTTCATATTTTTGATCATCTACTTTTTCTTAGATAAATCCCTTTAACATTTCATATAATATGGGCTTGGTGATGATGAAATCCTTTAACTTGACCTTATCTGGGAAGAATTTATCTGCCCTTCCATTCTAAATGATAGCTTTGCTGGATAGAATAATTTTCAATGTAGGTCTTTGCCTTTCATGACTTCGAATATTCTTTCCAGCTCCTTCTTGCCTGTAAGGTTTCTTTTGAGAAATCACTTGATAGTCTTTTGGAAATTCCTGTGTAGGTAACTGTCTCCTTTTCTCTTGCTGCCTTTAAGATTCTCTTCTTATTGCCCTGACTGGTGTAGCTCAATGGATTGAGCATGGGCTGCAAACCAAAAGGTTTCCAGTTTGATTCCCAGTCAGCGCACATACCTGGGTTGTGAGCCAGGTCCCCAGTACAGGGCACTCAAGAGACAACCATACACTGATATTTTTCTCCCTCTCTTTCTCCTTCTCTTCCCTACTCTCTAAAAATGAATAAATAAAAATCTTTTTTAAAAAAGATTCTCTCCTTATCTTTAATCTTCGCTAATGTAATTATGATGTGCCTTGGTGTGTGCTTCCTTGGGGTCCAACTACTTCAGGAGTCTTTGAGCTTCCTGGACTTCCTGGAAGTCTATTTCCTTTGCCAGATTAAGGAAGTTCTTCGTTATTTGTCCAGGTAAATTTTCAATTTCTTGCTCTTCTTCTTGTCCTTCTGGTACCTCAATGATTTGGATGTTAGAATGTTTAAAGTTGTCCTGGAGGTTCCCAAGGCTCTTTTCACTTTTTTGAATTCTTGTTTGTTTATTCTGTTCTGGTTGAATGTTTATTTCTTCCTCCTACTTCAAAACATTGATCTAAGTCCTGGTTTCCTTCACGTCACTGTTGATTCCCTGTGCATATTCCTTTATTTCACCATTCATAGTCTTCATTTTTTCCTCTATTTTGTGGCCATACTCAACCAGTTCTCTGAGCATCCTGATTACCAGTGTTCTGAGCTCTGTATCTGATAGGTTGGGTATCTCTTCAGGGCTTAGTTGAAATTTTTCTGGAGCTTTGATCTGCTGTTTCATTTGGATTGTATTTTTTTTTGTCTCAGTGTGCCTGTTATGTACTAAGGGGTGGAACCTTAGTATTTGCCAGAGTGGGACAACCCACATTGCTGCATTTTGGTGCTGTATGTGGAGGATGGGTATCAGAGGTAACAGTGCTGCTTGCTCAGTTCTTGCCAGCTTTCAGTCACTTCCTCCACTACCCACAAGCAAATTTGGCCCTTCTAGTGCTGATTCCTGGGTGGGTGGGTGGGTTTGTTTATGTTCTAGGACCCTGTGGGTCTCTCCAATGAACTCTCCTGTGTGGCTGGGAGTTTCTCCCACTGCTGTAACACCCACAGGTTTTTTCATTCAAAGGTTTTGAGGCTTTATTTCACCATGCTGGAAACCTGGGTTGCTCCATCTGCCTTGCTCCCCAGTTGTTCCTCCCAGCTTATCTACATGCCAATGTGGGACCACCTGCTCCACCAGCCACTGCCTCTTCCAGTCCTCCAGCTTCCATCTGCCCCAATCTTCCACCCACCATGTTGCCCTGAGTACTCTCTGCCCCGGCTTTTCATCTCCTCCCCTCCTGCTCATCAGGATGAATGTTTCTTCTTTAACTCTTTGGTTGTTGGATTTCCCTACAGTTTGATTTTCTGTCAGTTCTGGTTGTTTTTTGTTTTTAAATTTGTGGTTGTCCTTTTAGTTGTGCAAGGAGGCACAGTGCATCTACCTATACCTCCATCTTGGCCAGAAGTCTAGTTTCATTTTGTTTTTGCATGTACCAGTCCAGTTTTCCCAACACCATTTATTGAAGGCACTGTCTTTGCTCCGTTGTATGCTTTTGCCATCTTTGTCAAATAGCAATTGCTCATACAGGCATGAGTTTATCAGACAAGTAGAACCAAAAAATGGCATCCAAATTGGAAAGAAGGAAGTAAAGCTGTCAGTATTCATAGAGGACATGATATCATACATAGGAAACCTTCTAGAGTCCTCCTAGAAAATACTAAACCTACTAAATGAATTCAGCAAAGCAGCAGGATACAAAATTAATACCCAGAAATTGATGACATTTCTATACACAAATAATGAGCTATCAGAAAGAGAAACTAAGCCCTCGCTGGTGTGGCTCAGTGGATTGACCACAGGCCTGTGAACCAAAGGGTTGCCAGTTCAATTCCCAGTCAGGGCACATACCTGGGTTGTGGGCCTGCTCCCCAGTGGGGAGTGCAAGAGGCAACCACACATTGATATTTCTCTCCCCCTCTTCCTCCCTCGCTTCCCCTCTCTCTAAAAATAAATAAATAAAATCTTTAAAAAAGAGAGATAAACTAAAAAAAAACAATTCCATTTACTCTTGCAACAAAAAAAAATTAGGTGTCCAGGAATAAATTTAACCAAGGAGGTAAAGGACCTATACTTGGGAAACTATAGGCCACTGAAGGAGGAAATCAAGGAAGATACAAATAAGTGGAAATAGATACCATGTTCATGGGCTAGAAGAATTAACCTCATTAAAATGGCTATTCTATCCAAAGCAATCTATACATTCAATGTAATTCCTATTAAAATACCAATGGCATACTTCACAGAACTAGAACAAATACTCCAAAGACTTATATGAAACTAAAAAAGACCTTGAAAAGCCTCGGCAATCTTGCAAAAGAAGGTCAAAGCTGGAGATATTACAACTCCTGATATCAAACTATTCTATAGGGCCACTGAAATAGAAGTAGCCTGGTACTGGCACAAGAACAAACAGATAGATCAAAGGAACTGAACAAAGAACCCAGGAATTAACCTATGTAAGTTTAGGGTGTAATATATGATAATTTTGTATATATATATATTGCAAAATGGTTACCACAATGTTAGTTAATACCTCCATCATTTGACATTTTTTTGTGGTGGTAACATTTAAGATCTACTCTTTTAAGTAACTTTCATGTATATAATACAATAAATTACTGTTCA